GTGTGAGGGGCACCTGGGTGGCTCAGTTGGTTAAGCATCTGACACTTGATTTCAGCTCAGGTCATCATCTCACGGTCCATGAGATCGAGCCCCACATTGGGTTCTGTGCTGACAGCGTGGGGCCTGCTTGAGATTCTCTTTCTCTCTCTCTCTCTCAAAATAAAATAAGCTTTAAGAAAAACAAGATAATAATGGTGTGGGAAATTTTGACATAGAATTTCACACCTAAACAAATCATAGTTCCAGTTTTCTATTATTTTCACAATTTTTTCTTTAAATACATCACTTGTATTTGTTTGCAAAGCAAACATTTTAGTAGTAATACTTATGGTATAGCCCAAATGTTTTCCTGAAGAAGAACAAATAAACCAAACATCATTTTTTTTTAATTCAATAGATTGTCCTTTGTAGGAGAAACCAAGATTTTCTCAGACATCCAATGACTCAAAAGAAATGACACATAAACAAACAGAATAATTGTTTAATGAGAAACATTATGTTTGAAGAGCCAATGACATAAACATGGGATGGGGCTAGCATTATGTCAGCAAACCAATAAAACCATTAATGGGAGAAAGTGTGTGCTAATAAGTCTAAGTAAAGTGTGCTAGTTTGGAAGGCTTCACAATGCCAAACTACAAAAGAAATATTTTAAAGGAAACGATAGAAGAACTAAAATAAGGAATGTAACAGCCCAATGTAAATTAAGAGAGAACAGGAAATTGAAGGATAGTACTGTAAAATACAAGAGAACAAAGAATTAGCTTTTCATAAAAATTTGTCAAAGGTTACTATTCTTATTGCGTGGGTGAGAGAAATTGATCATAAGGATGTTTAGGAAATATTTAAAGATGCTCTATTACAGAATGTGATTGTTTTTCTTCTAAATTAGATGTGCATATCTCAATGACCTGGGGGATATATAATTTAAATAACCAAGACTGAGCTGTACCCTAGACTATTTTAATGAGAATTTCAGATAAAAGAGACAAAGAGACACATGGATTGTCAAAAGAAAAGAAAAAAAAAAGCTCCTCAGATGATTCTGATGACTACCCCCTTACGTACAATGAGTCTAAAAACAGTCACTGTAATTTACAAAATAAAATATCAAGAGTCAAGGTCAGTCAGGCAAAAGGAAAGCATAAAAAAGTAGAACATACAAAATTGGTCTGGTAATATGTGAAATGTAATAGGAAGTAATAATAGAACATATATATTAATATATCATTGATTTTTTTTATATATCAGTTACATATACATATATAAAATATATTTGGGAATCCAATATTCTGAGCTCATGTCTCCAAGGACTATGTATGATGCCTGAGCTCTCCTCAGGTGGTGAAATTTAGTGTTGAAGAGCAAGCTGGCAGGCCTTCACCGCATAAAAATGTGCTCTGCTTCAGACCTACATGCACCTGATCAGAGGCCGAGGGGCCCTAGGCTGCTTCTCGGAGGAATGAAACAGCTGGAAGGGCACACCTGGATGTCCCTCCTGGGTGCTCCCCAAATAAGTGGTGGTTTTCTCTCTTGATTTATTTCCACTTCATTTTTGTAGGTATCCATAATGTGTCTGCTCTTTTCAACAAGGCTGTGGGGTCCCTAAGGCAGGGCTGTCCCTATGGCTTCTAGATCATCAGAGCCTGGTACCCAGTGGGCATTCATGGATATTATTAGGATGAAAAGGGGGAGCAGGGGCCTGGTGGGGCCATGGCCAAGATGCACAGCTCCACCTGACTGGTCATGGCCCACCTCTCTCTTTCCTTTAGATTCATCCAGGCTCCCAGAGGCAGCAGGCCTGATGCCACCTCGCACACACTCTGGCAGGTGACTTTGCCCTGAGTCCTCCCATCCTAGCACTTCTCACGGTGTGCCCTGGTGGGCAGCTCGCTGGAGAAAGCAAGGGCTCTGGGTTAAGCAAGAGAGCTCGGGGTTATAGTACTGAAGAACAAAGGGGTGTTCAGACTCTCTTAGTCTTGCTCTTCTCTCTACAAACTGGATATGCTGCTTAACTAAGGACCACAGAGGAGAATTGGACCCCTAGAGCTGCTGGACCTGCCCCCTGTGGCCTGAGTCATGGTGCGTGTCCAGGTGTCTGACCCTGACTGTGTATGAGTGTGCACAGCTCTTGTGAGCACCTGCCTGCCCTCACCTACCTGAGAACTTAGGACCTGAGGCCAGTGCAGCTGTGTGACCTGCCTCCCACAGTGAATGACAGGGCTTATTAGGGAGGCCAGATCCACACCTCATTCCCCAGCAGGTGCAACTGAGAGGAGAGAAGGCCGAGGCCACTGAAAGATGAATTGTGCAGCTAGGAGCATTTGGCTGGCTTCTGCTGCATCCAGGCAATGGTTCTTACTGGCTCCTGGTCATCCTTTGTGCCATAGAGAAGGATTTGGTAAGCCACAATTATGGGCAGGACCCGAGTCTCCAAGATCAACAGCATAGGCAACACATCCATAAAGGCAGGGACTCCTGGAAACCCGAAATCCTGTAGACTGGTGGCTCTCAATGCTGGTCCCAGGACCAGCAGCATCAGCTTCACCTGGGAACTTCTTAAAATGCAAATCCTCAGGCCCTACCCAAGCACTTCTGAATCAGAACTCCAATGGGACTGTCAATCTATGTTTGTTTGTTTTTTAATTTTTTTTAACGTTTATTTATTTTTGAGAGAGACAGAGACAGAATGCGAGTGGGTTAGGGTCAGAGAGAGAGGGAGACACAGAATCCGAAGCAGGCTCTAGGCTCTGAGCTGTCAGCACAGAGCCTGGTGCGGGGCTCGAACCCACAAACCGTGAGATCATGACCTGAGCTGAAGTCAGATGCTCAACCGACTGAGCCACCCAGGAACCCCTGTCAATCTAAGTTTTAACGAGCCCCACAGGAGATTCTGGTGTGTGCTAGATTTGAAGAACATGGCCCTAGAGCATCCTCTTACTCACTGTGGCCATCAGCTCTTCCAATTCCATCCACCTCCCCAAGTCCTCCACCCTGTTTTTGAAATTGCTCTCATGAAGCTTGTCTTGAGTTTACAAGTAGGGAGCCCCAAGGAGTAGTGCTTGTCCTGTACTGACTTCTATCACCCTGAGCACTTCTCCTTACCAGAGATACAAGTCCTTTTCTTGCAAATGGAAGACCCACAAAGTAGAGATGGTTTTGTCCTTCGTGGACAGCATCTTTATGCTGCCATAGAGACTGAGCTGGTGGCCATACAACCTGATGCACTTTGTCTGGGTGCCCCTGCATGACCATAGTGTGCTCATGGTAAACTTTGAACTCAGTCATCCCACTGACAAGAACTGGCCCAGAAATCATCCAGTGAAGCCATGCTCAACCTTAGCTGTTTCCGTGAAGTTGAACAGCCTGACCTCAATAAGCTGACATGAATAAGGACCTCACTTACTGTTGTCCATTCTCCCAGGTCTTCCCCTGTGAGCTAGGAATGCCCTGCCTCATGCCTGGCCCACTGCCCAGAAGGGCTGCCCAGGGCTGGATACCTGCTCCTCTTTCTGTAGGAGAACTCCTGAGAATTTTAGAAGTAGACTTTGGAAAACCTTAATCTGGGCTATGGTAGGCTTTCATGGGTCCAGAAATGTGTGAAATTTTAACAACTGTATATGAGGGTGAAAAAGTGAATTTTTCTGGACATGCATAAAATTCTCCAAGGGATCTATTGCCCCCAGTAGGCTAAGAACCACTTTCTGTAAGAGCCCCTCAGCAATCTCTGGAAGGTTCCTAAATATAAATGGGGAATCTTAATCCATAATTAAGTATTAAAGGGAAAGAAAAATGGGCAAAGAACCTAAAATGGCAATTTATTGACTAAAGAAATACATGACTTGTAAACATGAATAGAATATACATTCCGAAAGTACACAAAGCCCAAGTGTATGGCTCAATAATTACAAAGTCAACAACCCAGAAACTAGCACCAGATGAAGAAACAGAACACTACTAGGCACTCCAGAGCTGTCTGCAAGACCCCTCCCACTCATATATTCCCCTCCTCTACAAAAGGAACAATTATCCTGACTTCCATTGCCATATGTCAATTCTGCCTAGTTTCAGACTATATAAATAGGAACATATATGTTCTCCTTTGTGTCTGGCTTCTTTTGCTAAATATCATCTATATTGTTGCTCATGGTAGTTTATTTTCATTGTTACATATTATTCCATTGTATCAATATACTATAGTTTATTCATGCTTTTACAGATGGACTTTTGGCTTCTTTCCAGTTTGGACAATGCTATGAACACTCTTGTACACGTTTCTTTTTTTTTAATTTTTTAAATTTAAGTTTATTTATTTATCTTAGAGACAGCAAAAAAGGGCAGAGAGAGAGAGTGGGAGAGAGAATCCCAAGCAGGCTTTGCACAGTCAGTGCAGAGCCCTACTTGGGGCTCAGTCTCACGAACCAAGAGATCCCAACCTGAGCCAAAATCAAGAGTCAGACGCTTAACTGACTGAGCCACTCAGGTGCCCTGCGGTTGTATTTTGAAGGTAGAGTTAATAGGAATTTCCTGATAAGTTGGATATGGAGGCTAGAAAAAGAGAGGAGACAAGGATGTGTCTGAAGTGTTGGGCCTAATCAACTTTATGGCTAGAACAGTCATCAACTGAGATAAAAAACTGGGCGGCCAGTTTGAGAGAGATCATGGGTTTTCTTTGGGCATGTTACATTTGAAATGTCTATTATACATCCAAATAGATATGTGAGGGAGGCAGCTGGGGTTCAAGAAAGAGGTCTGAGTCATTGATATAAATATGGGAGTTGTTGGCAAATGACGGTGTATTTTAAAGGTCTAGTTAGGAAAGAGAAACTACACTGTAATTTGAACAGGGAAAGTTTACATTAAAATGTACTAGCTACAACAGGGGATTGGAGCAATGGGGTATGGGCTAGTAAGAAGAGAACTCTAAAGAATATTAAGAATAGCAGATTTGAGGAGCAGCTACTACCCTAGGACAGAGATAGAGGGCCCAGGAACAATCCCACTCCTCACCCCCAACCTCCACCTGTGGAGAGCTAGACCTCATTGAAGGGGTATGGCCATGGCCCACTGGTGTCAGGGTGGTCCCTATGATGCTGCACCACTGGAACTTGGAAATCCCTCTCCGGGTGCTACGGAAAAGGTAAGTGTCTCAGGGGAGTCACTCCATGACAAAAATTCCAGGAGGTGGAGGAACGTGGAGAAAGAGTGGGGCACTGCTGGCCATCACATACTGGAGGAGCTGGCCCTGGAGAAATGACCCATCTACAGAATCCTGACCAAGGAGCAGAGCAGGACCGGAAAGCTTGCTCCTACAAGGTCTCTCCACTGCCCTCTACTGACAAACCTTAACATATATGCCAGCGTCAAAGGAAAAATGTTTGCGAAGTAGGCAATGAAGAATGAATTTGTAGCCGAGATACAATACATTAACTGATACAGGTGACATATAAAATCACACCACAGAATGAGATCACCTAGGAAATAAGTATAGACACAAAAGAAGACCAAAGGCTGAGCCCTGTGGGTTGTCTTTAACTTAAGCATGTCAGGTAGGAGTGGAAGAATCTTCAGCAAAGGCTACTGAGAAGGAGCAGCCAAGATTGTTGGTGGTGTGCTCGGCGCAGAGAATCTAATAGAGAATAGGAGGAGAGAAACTGGAGAACATATTGACAATTCTTTTGTGAAATTTTGCTACAAAGGGGCACGGAGAAAAGGTGTGGTGTCTGCTACAGAAAATGGAACCGAGAGGAGTTTGTTTTGGAAGAGGAGAGAAATAGCTGCATATTTTATGATGATGGGAATGGTCCAGTAAAAACTGATGATGTTTGTCACTTCCCTGAGTCTGTTGGTGCTGGCAAAACCCGGGAATTACAGCACTAAAGAAGTCCGAGAGGGGCTCCTGGGTGGCTCAATCGGTTGGGCGTGGACTTCAGCTCAGGTTGTGATCTCACGGCTTATGAGGTCTAGTCTAGCATCGGCTCTGTGCTGACAGCTCAGAGCCTGGAGCCTGCTAGGATTGTGTGTCCCTCTCTCGCTCTGCCTCTCCCCCGTTTGTACTCTGTCTCTCTCAAGAATAAATAAAACATTAAAAAAAAAAAAAGAAAAGTCCGAGAAATGGTCAGCCCTTGTCATCTTTAAAAAATATATTTTTAAATGTTTTTATTTATTTTTGCGACACAGAGAGACAGAGCATGAGGAGGGGAGGGGCAGAGAGAGAGGAGACACAGAATCTGAAGAAGGATCCAGGATTTAAGCTGTCAGCACAGAGCCCAACGCAGGGCTTGAACTTACGGACTGTGAGATCATGACCTGAGCTGAAGTCGGACGCTTAACAGACTGAGGCCACCCAGGCGCCTCCAGCTCTTGTCATCTTTAAGGAAGGGCAGGCAAATGTGTCAGGGAGACTCCCAACCGTGGGATATTCCATTAGGTCACGGAGGGACGCGATGCCATTGGCATTTAGAGGGGACGGGTGCCGTGACTCCGGTTGACCAGGACTAAATATATTACTTCGTCTTTCATCCTGCACCAACGAACGAACTCCAGGCCGCACTGTCAGCACAGCCTCCGGGGATCCCGGGCGAGCGGGACGCACGGGACCCTGAATCCCAGTATTCGCAGTGCGGCGGCGGTCCCCGCCAGACAGGAAGCCCGGCGGCGCGGGGCATGGCTTCAGGTTGGATCGCAGCGCGCAGTCGTCTCCTGCGCCCCTCCTCAGCCAATCAGGAGCCTTTCTTCAGCCTTTTCCCAGACTCGCCCTTGCGTCGGTCTCTTTCTTTTGCCTCTCTGTTTCCTGCCGGCGTGTTTAGTCCGCGCGTAGGGCGCATTTCCGTTTCCGGCGCTGACCATGCGGACTTGAGAAGAAGCAGTTGTGAACCCGGTAACGGCCGCGGGTTAGGGGAGGCGGAGGTGGTGGGGTCCCGGGACCTGGGATTCTAAGAGCTTTGCTAGTCGCACTTGGCGAGGTCCTTCAGGACAGTCTTTGCCCCCAAAGAGCGCCTCAGGCGCTCAGGTGGAGAGTCACACGTCGTACCTGCCGGAGACTTGCTGCGAGGTCGTTGGGAATGGCTGAATGAATTCGTGCGGAGAGTCGGCACAGGGTGGGGAGGTGACAGGGAGAAGTGAGAAGTTTTTTCTTGGCGGGGTAATCCTAGCAGGTGGCTCAGACCTGAGCTACATCTGTTGATTCCCAGTTGTGCTTTTCCCATCCCTCTCCGCCTCCCCCCACCCTGTCCTGAAAGTGCGAAAAGTGTCAGTACAAGTTCCGGACCAAAACAAAGTAGAGAAGAAAAATAATGCCCCGAAATCACATAGCTGTTTAGTTTCAAAGCGTTCCCTGAACTCGGCTCCCCTCACTCCTGGGTAGTGTTTCTTGACGTTATGCTGGTATATACGTGGACTTTCTGTTTGCGCTGGTGCGTGCCCGTGGGAAATCTCTGATCGCCTAAGTTCAGCCTTCTGACTTCGCCCTTACTGCGTGGCATGGAAGATAGTGGTTTGGATTTCCTTTGCTAGTCAGGTAACAGCTGTCGTCCCCTCCTGGCAAAATGCCTCGTACATCATAGGCAGACACGAGTATTTATTGAGCTGAAATTAATTCAGTGCCTTAACTGAGTGAAGAGACTTTTTGTTTTGTTTTAATTAACCAAGCGCTCAGATTGTATACAGCCTGGTTTCCTTAAAAAGCTCACTAAATCTGGTGGTTCTCAATTAATGGGCTATGAATTCCCGGGATGCTCAGAAATCTTTGTAAGGGTTTCTGCAAATCCGTGTGGTCTCCAGGCATCCTCCACAACCAGCCATAACTTACACATGTAGATGTTACTGTTTTTGTTTAAATGTATATACGTGATTATTATAATTTAAAAATTTTACAGTATCAACAGGTACTAGAAAGTAACACTGCTATCATGTTGGAGGTTCATTAAAATGCTTTAAGTTTTAAAAAGAAAATGTCTTCAAAATACTTTAAGTTTGGAAACCACTTCGTTAGTCCAATTGATATTAGGTGCTGAGCTGTCCAGTATGGTAACTACTAGTCACATATGGCTATTTAAATTTAGAATGGAATTAACTAAAATTATATACAATTTCAATGTTTCAGTTTCACTGGATACATTTTAAATTCTCAAAGCCACATGTGGTTAGTGGCCAGTGTGAAAGTATAGATACAATGGAGTATTTGCATCATTGAAGAAATGGGTAGTGCTGATATAGACACTTAAGATGAATAAAAAGTAACTTAAGCAGAAGTAACTAACAAATCTAATTCTAGCATAACAGAGAATTGAAATTAGGGATAGTATTAAGCAGTTTCTATCCTTGTGTGAACACATATCTCTTCCTAAAGAAATAAATGAAATTTACTTTTTCCTTGGGTGTTGTCTGGATTGTAAAATGCTTCCCCCATCCCTGCCTCATCAATGTAGGTTAGAGTTACTTGTGAATTGGTAAAAAGCCACTATGGAGACTAAGGACCAGAAGAAACACAGAAAGAAAAACAGTGGGCCCAAAGCTGAGAAGAAGAAGAAACGGCATCTGCAGGATCTCCAAATTGGAGATGAGGAAGATGCCCGGAAGAGAAACCCCAAAGCCTTTGCAGTACAGTCTGCTGTGCGGATGGCTCGATCCTTTCACAGGTATTTAGCTGGGGTCTAGCTGTTTTTCCATTTATCCTTTTTATTCTTATTTATTTTTTTTAGGCTTTATTTATTTATATTGAGAGAGACAGAGACAGCACAAGTGAGGGAGGGGCAGAGAGAGAGAGGAGCGAGGAGAGAGAGAGACAGAGAGAATCCCAAGCTGGCCCCACACTGCCAGGGCAGAACCTGATGTGGGGCTTGAACCCACAAAGCTGTGAGATCATGACCTGAGCCGAAACCAAGAGTCGGACACTTAACCGACTGAGCCACCAAGGCGCCTCCCCAGATGATGCTTGGATTCCTGAGTCTGTAACAACTTTGAAGGACATGAAGATACATGCGATATTCCTTTTACTAAAATGGGAACATGTAGTCTTCCCTGTGGAAGCCACTTTGCCTCCAGTATCAGCCTGTTGATTGGCTTTTTTTTTGCCCAAGAGAAAAGCTTCTGAGTTTTTCTTTATAGAATTTGTTTGTTCTCTAGTAATAGGTGTGCTTGTGTTTTTTTCTGAATTTGTTTCATATAACTCATAGTAATAAGTAGCTTTATTTAATGAGTCCTTATTATATGCAAGGCAGTGTACTTTAAACATTGCTGAATTAAATTCTCCTTATAGGAGAGCCAAATTTAACTTGAAAGCCTCTGCTGCTATTCATTGTGATCTTCTGCCTGCATGTTTACCTTTTTTTTTTTTAAACCATTACAGTCATCTAGTAAAACAATTAGATTTAAGTTGTGTGTAGTTTTCAGTACTTTGTATTGTCGAAGTCAGTTTGTTATGTATTTACTGAAGGGGTCATTTGGATTGGGCCTAGAAGTTAACCAATTAGTTGTATCCATGTTGTCTGTTCTGCTGTCTTTTTAAAAATCGTTATAAGGATGATGTCCTTCATATTTTGAAAGTGGATTTACTTTTTTTTTTTTCTTGTTACAAATAGGACTCAGGATTTGAAGACCAAAAAGCATCACATTCCAGTGGTTGATCGAACTCCATTAGAGCCCCCACCAATAGTGGTAGTGGTGATGGGGCCTCCAAAAGTTGGAAAGAGCACTTTGATCCAGTGCCTAATTCGGAACTTCACTAGGCAGAAACTGACAGAGATCAGAGGCCCTGTTACGATCGTGTCAGGTAGGAGCGTGCTACCCCAGGCTGATATGGCATATGTTGTCTGAGGGACAGGCTTGGCTTTGTTGAACATTTATAAATGTTAAAGTAATATTGTCACTTCATATTACTTCTCTTGTGCTGAATTGACTGTAGCTTCAGAAAAGGATAGATTCCCAAAAATAATAATGATGTAGATGTATACCCTATTCTCACTGCTACATGGATTTGCTATCTATGAAAGGTTTGGCAGGCCTGGGCACCCTGGGTTGGTCCTGGTGACCACCTTCTTTTAACAGGGAGTGAATATCTCTAGTATGTCAGGCATACCTGCTCGCCCTCATGAAGCCACATTGTTATGGAAGTGAGGGAGTTTTCCTCTCTTTTTCTGTGAGAATCTGCCTGCTCTGGGAGATGGTGACATTTCTGTTTGAGGGAAAGTGAAACAAATTCCCAAAATGTCAATGGAAGAATCTAAGATTTCTTTGTTGTTGGTGGTGTTGGTGTTTTAAAGATTTTATTTTTAAGTAATCTCTTTACCCAACATGGGGCTCATACTCACAACCCTGAGATCAAGAGTCGCACACTCCACCTACTGAGCCAGCTAGGTGCTTCTGAAATTCTTACTGTAGCAGTAATGTAGTTGGATTGAGACTTTTCTTTATCTTAAAGGCATTTCTGTCATTTTAACTGATTTTGTTTTCTTTCTTTCTGTTTTTTGTTTTGTTTTGTTTTGTTTTTGTTTTTCTTTTAAGTAAACTCTACCCCCATTGTGGGGCTTGAACTCATGACTCTGAGCTCAAGAGTTGCATGCTCTGGCTAAATCAGCTAGGTGCCCCATTTTTTTTTTTTCTTTTTGAGAGAGAAAGAGGGCACAAGTGAGTGAGGTGCAGAGAGAGAGAGAGAGAGAGAGGCAGGGGGAGAGAATCCCACAAGGGATAGTGAGAGAGAGGAGCAGGGCTCACCCAGAGTGGGGCTCATGTTCACTAGAAGTGGGGTTCGAGCTCACCTGAAGCAAGGCTCAAGCTCACCTGAAGCTGGGCTTGTGCTCATCCGATGTGGGGCTCGTGCTCACCTACAGCAGGGCTTGAACTCACAAACTGTGAGGTCATGACCTGAGCTGAAATCAGATGCTTCATAATTGAGCCACCCAGACACCCTAATTTTTTTTTAAGTAATCTCTAACTCCAACTTGGGGCTCAAACTCGTGACTCCGAGATCAAGAGTAGCAGACTGATTTCTTTTAATTTAGAGATAACGATTGTTCCATGAAGATTCTGTTACATTATGTTTGAGGATGTTTTTAGCTATAGTGAGAACATGGGAAACTTTGTTAAAGAACGAAATGTTGGCCTGCTGCTGAACAGCAGGATCACGGTCAGCATGAAGCTTTCTTGTGTGTCCATTCCAGTCAGAATTTTCCCTATTTGAGCACTTTATTCTTGTACATAGACTTTTGGTATTATTTATAATTAAAGAATATAGATAGCAAGAAAACAAAGGTGGAATTTATTAGTTTTCTCTCATAAAATTGAACTTCTGGCATACTTTCTGTAAGTGTGTATGGTACTTTACTGGATACAATTTAAAATAGTAATTAGCGTTAATAGCTACATTTTTCCAAGATTTTTTTAGAAGGAAACTTTTTGTCTTTTATAGGTAAAAAGCGCAGACTTACCATCATTGAATGTGGGTGTGACATTAATATGATGATTGATCTGGCTAAAGTGGCAGATTTGGTAAGTCAGTAGGGACAGTCTGAATTTCTGAGGAGGACTTAACAACAGTGTGGTAGATTATTTTATATCTTATGTTGAAGGAAAGAAAGGCATACAATTATTAAAGGAATGATGAGTCTAATCAGGGATACCATCGATGTGTTTGAATTGATGATGATGATATTGTTATAATAAAAATGGAATATGCACATTGAAATGTATTCTCAAATCTAAAAGCAAATTACAGAGAAAACATTTAATGATCGTTGCTAATTAAGATATATAGATAGACATACTGACATACAAATATATAATAGTAAATACTATTTCTTGGACTCTTATGAGGCACTGTGCTAACACTTTTCTGGAAATTTAGTTCATCTAATCCCCCAGTATGTCCTGGAGGTAAGTAGGTATTTTCTCTAGTTTACATAGGATGAAATGGAGGTCCTAGAAGTTAAGTAGTTTGTCTGAGGATGGGGACTCTGCTCTTGATGGTGCCAGAACCTTTGTTCTTTTTTCTTTTTAGTTTTTTTTTTTAATTTATGTATTCATTTTGAGAGAGAGAGAGAGCGCACGCACAAGTGAGTTGGGAGTGGGGCAGAGAGAGAGGGAGAAAGAGAATCCTAAGCAGGCTCTGCACTGTCAGCACAGAGCCCGACACAGGGCTCAAAACCACAAACCATGAGATCATGACCTGAGCTGAAATCAAGAATCAGATGCTTAATTGACTGAGCCACCCAGGTGCCCCCAGAACCTCCATTCTTAATGATTATGACAAAATAAGTACATGAGTTGCCTTGGAGAAGTTGTCAGAATTTATGATAAAAAAATCTAGACAGAATGCAGCATATGGAAATTGTGTAGCTTTGATTGCATTTAATGGTAATCTTCATTAAGTTCTTTTTTCTTTGAAGTGTATTTTTTTATTTTGAGAGAGAGAGAGAGCAAGCATGATCAGGGGAGGGGCAAAGAGAGATGGAGAGAGAGAATCCTAAGCAGGCTCAGAGCTGTGAGCACAGAGCCTGATGCAGGGCTTAAACCCATGAACTGTGAGATCATGACCTGAGCTGAAATCAAGAGTCAGACGCTTAATTGACTCAGCCACCCAGGTGCCCCCAGAACTTCCGTTCTTAATGATTGTGACAAAATAAGTACATGAGTTGCCTTTGAGAAGTTGTCAGAATTTATAATAAAAAATCTAGATAGTATGCAGCATATGGAAATTGTGTAGCTTTGATTACATTTAGTGGTAATGTTCATTAACTTTTTTTTTTAAATTACTTATTTATTTTGAGAGAGAGAGAGCAAGCATGAGCAGGGGAAGGGGAGAGAGAGAGAGAGAGAGAGAGAGAGAGAGAGAGAGAGAGAGAGAGAGAGAGAGAGAGAGAGAGAGAGAGAGAGAGAGAGAGAGAGAGAATCCCAAGCAGGCTCCGAACTGTCAGCACAGAGCCCGATGCAGGGCTTGAACCCATGAACCGTGAAATCATGACTTGAGCTGAAATCCAGAGTTGGACGCTCAACCAAGTGTTCCTAGTTACATTTTAAATTAACAAAAATAAATCCAATTAAAAAAAATGTAAGGCCGTATTGATTAGGAAGATTGGAGTAACAGAGGCCTCTTTTTGTTTGTTTTTGATTCAACAATTTCTGGAAAGCTGCTTGGTGACCAAGAGCTACAGATTTTATCCTGTGGCCTAGGAGGTCTTCTAAAATAGAAAATAAAAAGTAATTTAATGTGAATGTTATAGCTGTGCCATTATAATATCAGAAAACTAAATACCATTCAAATTTTGAATGCTACTATTAATATAATGCTACTATTAATAAAAATAAGTGTTATTGTCAGTAAAAAATAGTATAAACATATTAAATCTTGTGTTTTTGAAATGATTAAAGTAGATTCGTGTGTAAGTCATTGTTTTTTGTTTGTTTTTTTTTCCATTGGTTTGTTTTTCGTGTAAAATATACCAAATCCCTAAGTACAAAAAGCATACACATATTAAGAAAGATATTTTTCATATACATCTTTTTTTAAGATTTAGGAACCCATGTATTTGGTAAATATTCAAACTATACTACAGGGTACAATGCGTGTTTTTCCTGCTCTGACCCCTGGTCTCTCAGTTTCCCTCTAAGCAGTATTCTTCTAGATATGTATGGAAATATACATGCAACCCTTTTTTTTTCTTTTTTGTTTCAACGTTTTTTTTTTATTTATTTTTGGGACAGAGAGAGACAGAGCATGAACGGGGGAGGGGCAGAGAGAGAGGGAGACACAGAATCGGAAACAGGCTCCAGGCTCTGAGCCATCAGCCCAGAGCCGGACGCGGGGCTCGAACTCACAGACCGCGAGATCGTGACCTGGCTGAAGTCGGACGCTTAACCGACTGTGCCACCCAGGCGCCCCTACATGCAACCCTTTTAAAGCGCACACTGTTTATTATATACACTGTTCTGTACTTTGCTTTTTTTCATTTAATGTGTCTTAAAGGCATGTAAGTACTATAGCTCAACTTCATTCTTTTTAAGTATTTCATTGTGTGTACCATAATTTTTTTAACTTGTCTTATGTTGATCGCTCTGCTCTGGGTTGTCTGTCATAAAGCCTCCTAAGTCCCAGCAAAGACACATACAATACATGGATTTATGTATATGTGCACGTGTGTGCATTGAAGGAATAATACAGGCTTCATTTATCTTTAGTTGACAAGATTGTCCACTAAAGGACTGTTTGCTACCTATTCTTGTGATTCTACAACGAACCACTTGCCCCTTGGCACGCTATGGTGTCAGATGGGGTGTGGTGATACTCTACTGCAAGCTCACTCACCTTCAGCCTGGTCCAGTGGCGAGGAAGAACTGCGCCAGCTTGGCCTGCGGTCTGCAGTGGCGGCTGCATTTTCTCGTAGTGCTTGGTGGCCCACCTTCATGTATTTTGTGCTTTAGGATTATGACTGTTCCTTAATTTAACCAAAGATAAGTTTTCCTGGTTTTGTGTGTGTGGTTTTTTGAATTAGCTACAAAAAGGTGAGAACAGAGATGTCTTTAATATGTTGTTAAAACTGGAAGTTTCTTACTTCTAGAAGAATCAGCTCTGAAGTTATTTTGCATGTTTGACGAGTCAAAATTTTATTATTATTTTTTAATGTATATTTGTTTTTAAGAGAGAGAGAGAGCCAGCAGGGGAGGGGCAGAGAGTAAGGGAGACAGAAAATCCCAAGCAGGCTCCACACTGCCAGTACAGAGCCCAACATGGGGCTCGAACTCTCAAACTGTAAGATCATGACCTGAGCCAAAATCAAGAGTCAGGTACTTAACTGACTGAGCCACCCAGGTGCCCCAGAAGAGTCAAAATTTTAAAGATTGTCTTATATGCTTCTATTTTCTTAGCATTCATAACTTTACTATTTTCGGATTAATTCTAAACTGGAAGCTTTTTTTAGTGTCTGAGCAATTGCATGTTACAAATTAACATAGAAGAGTTTTCCTACTGTATATCTCCCAGCAACTTTTTTTTTCCTCTGTTAGAAGACTGAAACGAAAATGTTTGATTTTCTTATATTTTTGCTATTTTTCATTGATTACCACTTTGTCCCATTTTCTGGATGTCAGAGATCTGTTATTTGGTTTTCCTGTTAGAGACCTGTTATTTGGCTTAAAAATACCTTACACAAAACTTTATTTCTTGAAGTGAGGACTTTTCCAGGTGAGGGGCAAGTTAGACCTAGCTTTTTCTGAGTTATTTCTAATATATCCAAATTCTTGAAGTGGAAATTTATATTGTGGTGGTTATTGCCTCATGGTTGCCTTTTGGGGAATGTCAGAGGGTAGTATTTTCTCTGTCATGATGATCCCTAAGTAATGCTTTGATTTAGTCTAGAATAGGAGTTGGCAACCTTTTTCTGTAAAGGGCCAGATGGTAAATATCTTAAGCTTTGCGGGTCATACTTTCTCTTACAACTACTTACTTTGTAGTTGGAGTGCAGACACAGGGGTAGACAATACATAAATACATTAATGTGGCTGTGTTCCAATAAAACTTTAGTTATAAAATAGGTCATGGCTCAGATTTTGTCCACGGACCATAGTTTGCTTATGGTCTATTTTGGGTAGTTTCCTTGAGTAATTGTGTTTTCTGTTTTTAGGTTCTGATGCTTATAGATGCCAGCTTTGGTTTTGAAATGGAAACATTTGAGTTTCTAAACATCTGTCAAGTACATGGCTTTCCTAAAATTATGGGCGTTCTCACTCACTTAGATTCCTTTAAGTATAATAAACAACTGAAGAAGACAAAGAAGCGATTAAAACACCGGTTCTGGACAGAAGTTTACCCGGTAGGAAGAGAATTAGTTTTTTAATACTAACACTATAATCTTAAAAAAAAAAATAGGAGGAGTAGGAGAGCTTAACAAACATCCCTTCAGGATTCACCTTTGGAATTTCCTTTATATATCTGTTCTTATATATCAATTTTTTCTCAAAATAGTCTGTATTTCAGATCTTTTGGTGTATCTCTTTTACTCTGTAGCCCCCCAGCACCAGGCAGTATCTGGCTCTAAGTATTTTACATTTGTGATTGTTTAAAAGAGTTTGTCAGAAGTTTCTCCTAATTATAGGACCAGCAACTACAGTGCATACATATCGCCACTCCACCCTCCCCTGCATACTGCTGTGGCTCAGCGTCATAGAATTTTTCATGTGTCTCGGAGCCTCACTGCCCTCTCCATGCAATACTCCAGACACCACTGCTTGGCTGGAGAGCAGTCTTGAAGCTAAATGTATTTGCAGTTCTGACTGTACTAAGCCTTAACAAGATGAGTCCTGAAAGAGGCGGAGAAGTTCAGGAAACATTGAGAAGTGGCATGCCAGAAGTCTCCCTTAAGATTGCGTCTTATTTACACATCTTTATTTTGATGTAGTATTGACAAGAATTTAATTGAAATTTAATTTTTGGCTTTTTTAATGTTTAGGGTGCTAAGCTGTTCTACCTTTCTGGAATGGTACATGGAGAATATCAAAACCAAGAAATTCACAATCTGGGCCGTTTTATTACAGTTATGAAGTTTAGGCCTCTTACGTGGCAGACCTCTCATCCCTACATCCTGGCAGACAGGTAAAAACTGCATGTGAAGTTTTTCTTCCTGGCCCATATATTTCAAAGCTACAAAGGTTAGAAAAAGAGCAGTAATAGAGCTTACTTTGTGCTTATTTTTTAATAGTAAGGGGGCATTGTAGTTGGTGGAAGAGATCTACTTCTTTGTATCAGTATCTAAAAGGTGCTGTGGCTTCAGGAGTAAAGTATGAAACATTTAGAAAAATGTGAGGATTTTGGAGCATTTAAGGCTATAAGATGTGGTCCTATCCTGCTTTTTGAACCTTAATTTTCAGTGATAACTGTCTTTGAATCATCGTGCTCCAGTCACCCAGATGTGTCCTGTGCTTTCTTTCCTTTTATGCCTTTTATCAAATTGTCTTCTCAGCCTGGAATCCCTTTTCTCTACTTGCCAGAATTCAAGGCACACCAAAAAAACTCAGGTTAAAGCTTAATCTTCTTCCATGAAGGGGTTTTCTGGATATGTTCTAATCTCTTCTTGACTCCTGTTGCGCATTATTTCCCATTTCTGGTGTCTTATTCACAGAACGTATATCACATAAAGCCTAAGAGCGATACAATCATTTGTTTGCTTCTTTTCCTCTGGTAGATGGTGAACTGTGCTTCATTTTTTCTGTATTTTCTATAATTTTCTAAACAATATGTTTAGTGAACTAGTGAATTTGATCCATCTTTGACATGTGAAGGGAGGTACAAGAACTTTGACATTTATTTCTGCTATATGATTGGGTTTTATTTTTCTAGGATGGAAGATTTGACAAACCCAGAAGATATTCGAAAAAATATCAAGTGTGACCGAAAAGTATCTCTTTATGGTTATTTAAGAGGAGCACACTTGAAAAGTAAAAGCCAAATTCACATGCCAGGTATCGTTTTGTTATAAAATATACCGTATTTGTAGAATCATTAGGATGGCTTGCTTCATTTCTCAGGAAAGCTGAAAAATGGCCAAGCAAGATAGAGCTACATTGCTAGAAGTTTTAAGACTAACCCGACTCTGCCTCAGCTCACAAAGGTGTTGAGTTGACCAAATCCCTCTGCTCTCAAGGTGTCAGCTAGCTAGAGAGGCACAGGACCAGTGTCAGATGATACCCTTGTGGTTGAAGTCTTCCAACTGTGGGCCATTTTTGCCAACAGTTGATACGCCTATAGCTGAAGCTTTCTGTGTCTGTCTTCCAGGGGTAGGAGATTTTGCTGTGAGTGACGTCAGTTTCCTCCCAGACCCCTGTGCGCTTCCTGAACAACAAAAGAAGCGCTGTTTAAATGAGAAAGAGAAGTTGGTTTATGCGCCGCTGTCTGGAGTTGGTGGTGTGCTGTATGACAAAGATGCGGTCTATGTTGATCTTGGTGGCAGCCATGGCTTCCAGGAATCGGTGAGAGGAAAGTCACAGGAAGTGATGATGTAGTCAGCTTTTACATACTGAAGCTTTTTTATCTCTATTGGTAATTACGGTAAAAACCACAATGTGTATTGCAAATATACAGATGATGTAGTTTTACTAAGGAGAAACTAAAAGTCATGTCCTCCATTCTGTTGCCAGTACACACAGGGGATCCTAGATCTTCTAGTGTGAACATTGCATGCGGTTTGTACTTGTACTTCCCGTCTCTCTCTGTACAAGCATACCTCATTTTATTGTGCTTTGCTTTATTGCATTTTGCCAAAAATTTGCCTTTTTTACAAATTGAAGGTTTGTGGCAACCCTGTTTCGAACAAGTCTGTTGGTGCCATTTTTTCCAACAGCATTTGCTCACTTTGTGTCTCTGTGTCACATTATGGCAATTCTAACGATTGTTTTCATTATTATGTTTGTTACAGTGATCTGTGATAAGTGATTATCGCTTACTGAAAGCTCAAATAATGATTAGCGTTTTTTAGCAATAAAGTATTTTTAATTAAAGTATGCACATTGCTTTTTTAGACATAATACTATTGCACACTTAATAGACTACAGTATAGTATAAACATTAACTCTTATATGCACTGGAAAACCAAAAAATTCATTTGACTCATTTTATTGTGGTAGTTTAGAACTGTACCCACAGTATCTCTGGAATATGCCTGCACAATATCAGTATGTTTTTTAGCTCTTTTTGGTCTTTCTCTTTTTTTATTTTTCTCTCTAAACATATATTTATTTATCTAGATTATATTATGTATATTTAGATTATTACATATTACATGTCAATACCATGTATTTGTGTACGTATATGGTCTTCGTGTGTAGGGGTGTCTGTGAGACAGAAGTAATGTTATATGGGCTTCAACTTTAAATGCTTTTGCAACTTTAGGGGGGCACCAAAGAATATGTGATTCCATTGTTCCCTGTTAGTATTTGTAGAGCTGCTTTGGTCTTTTTTTAGAGCTGTGTGATATTTTGCTGTATGGATAAACCTTGTTTATTGAACCAACCCTTGGCAGTCTGTGGCGGGGGGCGGGGGGGTCACCCCTAGATTCCCCTGGTTTGAACATTGCCTCACTTAGTACCCTCGATTATTCAGTTTTGCTTATTGGGAGGGATCTTTTTATGCAGTAAATTCCTTGAGATGAAAATTTTGGATCAAAAGACAGAATTTTTTTTAATGGACTCCAGATTTTCATTTCTTTATTCTGCAGAGGGGTTTTATTGGGCCAGAATAAATATTTTCTGTAGCATTGGCACTTACGGTTTGTGTAGCTAAGTATTTAGGTTATCAGGTTGTATACTCCATGAACTGGGAAAGGTTTAATGAAGACAGAGGTCAATTTTAGACTTGGTTATAAGAATTTTCTTTATTTTTTATCTTTTTATTTATTTATTTTTGAGGCAGTAAGAAATGATTTTAGGAACTATGTTTAGGATAATTTTGAGAAACTGATTGTAACCAGTGTGTCTCTCTTCAGAATCCTTGTGTATTCCTCACTTTCCCTTTCTTGGTGGCCTTGACAGGACGAGGTGAGGCCCACCCATGAACTGGTACAGAGCCTCATTTCCACCCATTCCACTATTGATGCCAAGATGGCTTCAAGTAGAGTGACACTTTTTTCTGATTCTAAACCACTGGGATCTGAGGATATAGATAATCAAGGGTAAGTTTACCATTTTCCTGTTTTTCATAAAAAATATGTTACCTATAATTATAAGATTATATCACCCATAATTCTGCCATCAGTATACATTTTGGTGGGATGCATTCCAAGCTGGTTTTGTTTTGTTTGCTCTGCTTTATATGTACATATGTTTCTGAGGGCTTTTCAGTTATGTGACATTACGTGGAGGTATTCTTGAAATATTATACAAGATTCAGTTTTTAGCAGGCCCAGAATACTCCTCAGATGTCACAAAAGGTTTTCTGTAGGTTGCTTTTGGTTTCTTAGGAGACCTGAGGCCACTTGGCTTTCTCTTAGTGGCCAAATACTAGTACAGGCAGAGCAAGGAAGCTTGTTCAGGTGGCTGTTGAGAAGCTACATATCTTGTCTCTAAAAGTTTTCTTTAAATTGTTTTATATTATCTTCTGGGTCAGTATCTACTAATATCTAGCTCATGTGAATTATTTTCAGTCTGGGTTGGGAATTTGTATACCTCATACATAGTGAATGTTCTGGTTTTATTGTAGTGATTTATGTATGACTCCCAATAAAAAAATCAGTCTGAAAATGATTGAAATATCTAGGTTAGAATTTATTATAAATGTATGCAAACAAAGGAAAATTTTTTGGAAACATTCATCTGCTCTAACTAGCAGATGGTATAGCAAGGTAGGTAAGTACAATATTCTTAATATGTTATTCTTTTTACATTTGTTAGCTGTCGTTCTTTAACAGGAAGCTCTTACACCTTTTTATTTAATAACACTGTTGACTATTGACTTTTTAAAAAATTCCATTTGTTATTATCCCATTGCTATCATTCTTTTTTCATGCCTGTATGGTCCCTTCAGTCTGTCTCCTGTCCTTTTGGCACTTCCCTGTTAGCCTTTGAGCACTGCTTTTGACACAATAGGATGTGTTCCAGGCTTACTTTGTACTTTCCTTGCCTTGAATCTGGAGTCAGTCATTTAAGGACCATCTATTTTGAGCTTGAAAATGGTCAGTCTTGGGATGCCTGAATGGCTCAGTTGGGTAAGTGTCTGACTTCGGCTCAGGTCATGATCTCATGGTTCTGTGAGTTTGAACCCCGCATTGGGCTCTGTGCTGATGGCTCAGAGCCTAGAGTCTGCTTCAGGTTCTGTATGTCCTTCTCTCTCTCCCCTTCTACTACTCATGCTCTTTTCTCTCTCAAAAATAACTTTTTCTTTACGTAAAAAAAAAAAAAAAAAGATCAGTCTTCTAAAAGATTGATTAAACAGTCACTTCCCTTTGGAGCACTTTTTCCCTAATGCCAGAATTTTTGTTTTTGAAGTTTACCTTTTGATTCTCTGTAAGTTCGTTTGAAGAGAGGTGTTAGGAACTGTGCATGAGTTTGCATATCATATATTCTAGTTTTTATCAAATCATTCCTTTCTATGCTGTGTTATTTATAACCATTCCATGATATTATTTTCTGTTTTTGTGCATAATTATTGACTTGCCATTCCTAGAGTAGCCAGTTATTGTACAAATTGAGTTATTTTGTGTTTACTTGGTAATATAGACACTGGATGCCAAAAGAAGAAAGGCAGATAGATTTGGAAACCGGTCGAGTGCGTCGGAAAGCCATTTTTGGAGATGAGGAAGATGAGTCTGGAGATAGTGATGAAGAAGATGATGAAGAGATGTCTGAAGGCGACAGGTTGGAAAATGGCTCTAGTGCTGATGAATCGGAAGAGGAAGCAGACGCTGAAATGACTAATAAAATGTATATGGTGGGTAAAGGTGTCAAACGGCAGAGACTTGAGGAGATGGAAGAAGACAATGAGGTGGATTTGCCAGCATTTGCTGATAGTGATGATGACCTTGAGAGGAGTTCAGAGGAAGAAGGAGACGCAGAGGAAGCTGATGAAAGCAGTGAAGAAGAGGATTCCACTTCAGGAGAGAGGGATAGTTTAGAATCTAGGGTTGTTGGAGACCGTGGTAAACCAGGACTTTTACAAACTAATGGTTTGAGTGACAGTTTGAATCTGGAGAATCCTTTGACAATCAGAAAAGCAACCCTCACCACTTCAGATTCAGGTCATTGCACAGCTGAAGAGGCATTTGCATCTGGGGATGAAACTGAAGAAAGCTCCTCTCTCAGTACAGAGGACGAGGACTCAGAAAATGAAGAGGCTATTAAGAAAAAGTTTCCAGAGTCTTCTAAAGTGGCCAGTGGTCAGAGACTGGGGTCAGAGAACTTAATTGATGAGACCAGTGATGTAGAAGACTTACTCAAAGAGGAAGAAGATTACAAGGAAGAAAATAACTATTCCACAGAAACTTCAGGTGTGCTTAAATTTAATGTAGCTGTTGGTATAAACTTGGCACTGAAAATGTTCTATCAATAGAACGTCTACAGGGGCACCTGGGTGGCTCAGTCCGTTGGGTATCTGACTTTGGCTCAGATCATGATCTAGTGGTGTGTGGGTTTGAGCCCCGTATCAGGCTCTGTGCTGACAGCTCAGAGCCTGGAGCCTGCTTCAGATTCTGTGCCTCCCTCTCACTTTGCCCTTCCCCTGTCATGATCTATCTCTCTCTCTCAAAAATAAATAAACATTAAAAAAATTAAAAAAAGAATGTCTACATTTGGGAGTCTGCTCTTTTGGAGATTTTGTTAACTGTTCAAATATTGCACCTCATAGGATTTCAGGATGAATACAGAGAGGACAAATAAACAGACTTAACTGATGATGTTGGTGTTGGTCCTTTCAGGCGCTCTCAAGTGGAAGGAAGACCTTTCCAGAAAGGCAGCTGAGGCCTTTCTGAGGCAGCAACAGGCAACTCCAAACCTTCGAAAGCTTATTTATGGGACAGGTAAGAGCTCTAGTTCAGATCCAGAAATGTTTTAGTTTCTTAGACAATTTTCTGGAAAGGAGATGAAGTTGACTGAAGGATTTGGGTGGTCCTTTTGATAGCCGTATGATATCCCTGACTGTCATAGTTTGTATGTGGCAGATGTTTTTAATCATCAGCTCACAGGTTTGCCATAAAACTGTTGATGAGAGTACTCTCTCTTATGTCATTTTATACCCTCTATACAAGGTCCTTCATGGGATTTTTTTTGGGTAGAATTGAGTGCCAGAAAAGAACAAAGTGGTGCATTTTGTATTGTGGTCACCAGTTACTGTGTGGTTAGAACAATGCCAAAGGAGTGTATAGGAGCAGAGCATTGAATCAAAGGGTTGGTGTGTACTGATTTCCCTTCAGGTTTTGCCTAAGTACTGTTGGTGATTAGAGACTCAGCAGTCTTCAAGAGAATGGCTTTATGCTGGTTAAAACCTTGCCTTTAAGTGTCCTTTCCTTTCCCAGTCCCCAATATTATATCTCCTTACTGGATTCTTTGTTGCTTTCTTGCAGGAGGGCCTAAGTCCTCCAGATATTGTGAGCAGTAGTTCCCTGGCCTTTTCTCTGCCTATAGCTGATGCACTCAGGGGCACCGCCATACCTACCACAAACAGGGACCCTCAGTCCTTTAGGGTGAAGATTTCTTCTCACTTTTTCGTCATGGTGTCTCTTCAGTGACAGAGGACAATGAAGAAGAAGATGGTGATACCAGGGAGGAACTCGGAGGATTGTTCCGTGTCAGCCAGCCTTCAAGAGAATGTAAGCACAAGCTTGATTCTTTGGACTGCTCCAGATTTCATGTGGAGGCGCCCCATGATTGGGATTTAGAGGAGGTAAGGCTGAAATAATATGTTTGACTTAAGAGACATCTAAGGAATTGTTCTAAAAGAAGATTATGTGATTTCAGTATTGCCTATTTGTTATTGGCTCCTCATTTTTGTAAGATAATAGGACATTCCCCCAGATATTGGACTACTTATTTTATGCATCCTAAGCAATAATGTGTTTTGGGTTTAGGTAGACTATGTGCATGTGTTATGGAGAAAAGGAAAATGTGGATGGTAGTGTTAATCTTTATTTTGAAGCATTGCACATAAGTTTTCATATATTTGAAATATTTTGTGTTTTATAACTAGGATATACCTCATGACCCTGAGTTAACATTTATAATTTCTACTATTTGTAAGCAAACAAATCCGTGACACTGGTAAATTTTCTTTCCCTGTTCACTATTCTTTAGTCACACTGGAATTCATTAAGTTCTCAAACTTAACAGGCTTAATCCCATCTTAGAAAACCCTGTTTTCTCTTCTGGAATGTTCTGATGTTCTTAAGGCTGGCTTCTTTTGATCATTCAGTTTAGCTTAAATATCACTTCTCAAGAGAGGCCCAATCACTATCATATTCCTAATATAATTCACTGAGTAGCACTTAGGCACTTTAAGAGATTTTATGTAAATTTTTTTTTGAAGTAAAACTTCATACAGATTATAGAAAACCACATAAAAACAACCATCTAAGTTAATGGATTAGATGAGGTTACACCTGTAACCCATGTGTCTGTCCCAGTCATAGTCCTCCCTGCAGAAGGAACCATGACTTTTATGATAATCATTTCCTTCTTTTCTTCATAATTTCATCCTTCAAGTTTGCATTAATAAACACCATAAGTTAGTTTTATCAGATTTTTTTGGTTTATTTCTCACTATGCCTTTTCAGTCTCTCAATCTGCAAATCCCCTGCACACATCTCTTTTTTTTTTTTTCCTCTTATATTTTATTCATTTAAGAAACTGAGTGTTTGATGTGTAGAGTTTCTCATATTTTGGTTTCTGTGGATTGCATTACATCCTTAAGTGCAGTTTATGAGGCTCCTCTCCTCTATTTCCTATAAAATGGTACAGAACAATACCAATAGAACTGTCTGTGATGATGGAAATGATCTGTACATCATTGAGCTGTCCAGTGTGGCTGCTTATGACTGTTAAGACCTTTAAATGTAGCCAATGAGACAGAAGAACTAAGTTTTTAATTTTATTTTAGTTTTATTTAATCTTAATTAATTAGAATGTACATAACCATGTGGTTACAGCTACCCTATGGACAGCACATCTAGAATTTGATTAGAGTTAGGTTTGATTTTTGTTGTTTTGTCAAGACTGCTCTATAGATTGTGGTGTTTGTTTTTAGGAGGCACATAAAATCATCTTACGATTTTAAAATCTGTTGAGCCGGGGCGCCTGGGTGGCTCAGTTGGTTAAGCGTCCGACTTCGGCTCAAGTCATGATCTCGCGGCCCGGGAATTCGAGCCCCGCGTCTGGCTCTGTGCTGACCGCTCAGAGCCTGGAGCCTGTTTCAGATTCTGTGTCTCCCTCTCTCTCTGACCCTCCCCTGTTCATGCTCTGTCTCTGTCTCAAAAATAAATAAACGTTAAAAAAAATTTTTAAAATAAAATAAAATCTGTTGAGCCTCAATGCCTAGCTAGATCCATTAATTTATTAAGGATGTAAAATGGTGATATTCTGTTCAAATTGCTCTTAATTTATTAGCTGGAATACCCCACTAAAGGGAAACTTCCCCTCATCTATTTGCTTACCCATTTCTATACAAGCAGGATGAATATTTGATTCTTTTTGTTAGTTTTCAGAATGATTCTCCAAAAGTGACTTTTTTTTTTAGTATCATTTTCAGCTCATAGAATTTAATATCATTGAGTGTTTCCTTCCACTGAACTTGTTATCCTTTTTGATACTCTTTCATATTTATCCCATATCTGGCCAGTGGGTTCCTGGATTCTTTTGACATGATCCTAGTAATCTTTGATTGCTTTGTTTCTGCCTGATCTGATGAGGTGTTGCAGCATCGTCTCGTACACTTCTGATGCCAGACTTGGAAGCAGCCATAAGAAGTCCTGATTCCTTTTAGAGGAAAATGGCATCTCAGCATCACAGTCTAGGCATAGGAATACACACTGCTATGGATTGGTCATTGTTTCTAGGCCTTTCAGTGACCAGAGCTAGGAGAATCCAATTCAGATGCAGACCTGCAGAGTTCTTATTTAACCTCTTTTACCTTACATGTGTATCTTTGTTTTTCCACTAGAGAATTAATTCCATTTGACTTTGAAGATGATGAAATTAGAAAATTACTAATTTGCTTTACCCTACCTATGTACAAAACAGTGTCAGAATAACATTACATGTATTATTATTAATATGATTACTGAAAACAAAGTTGTTTTCCTCATGTTTCCCCATTTCTCTTTTCAAAAGTGGCTACGTAGGTTTACATTCTCACCAGCAGTGTGTGTGGCTTCTGATTTCTCACATCCTCACCAACACTTGTTATTATCTGCATATATATTTTTTAATTATTATTATAGTCATTCTATTGGTGTGAAGTAGTATTTCATTGCAGCTTTGATTTGCCTTTCCCTGATAGCTTATGGTGCTGGACATCTTTTTTTTTTTTTTTTTTTTTTTTTTTTTTTTTTTTTTTTTTTAATGTTTATTTATTTATTTTGAGAGAGAGATAGAGCATGAGCAAGGGAGAGAGAGGGAGAGAGAATCCCAAGCAGGCTCTGCACTGTCAGCGCACAGCCTGACACGGGACTCAAACCCACAAACCATGAAATCATGATCTGAGCCAAAACCGGTCATTGAATGCTTAACCAACTGAGCTACCTGAGCATCCCAGGCATCTTTTCATGTGCTTACTAGCCATTTAAAGAAATGTCTATTCTTACTGTTTGGTCATTTAAAAAATTGCATTGTCTTTTTGTCATTGAGTTGTAAGAGTTGTTTATATATTCAATTTGTCAGGTATGTGATTTACAAATATTTTCTCCCATTCTGTAGGTTGTCTTTTCTGTGCCCTTTGAAGTGCAGAGTTTTAAGTTTTGATGAGGTTTAACTTGTTTATGTTTCTGTTGTTTCTATGTTTGGTATCCTATCTAAAAAAAAGTTGCCAAATGCAAGATCACGAAGGTTTACTCCTATGTTTTCATCTAAGAGTTTTATAGTTTGGTTCTTATATATATAAGAATCCTATCTAAAAAAAAGTTGCCAAATGCAAGATCACGAAGGTTTACTCCTATGTTTTCATCTAAGAGTTTATATAGTTTGGTTCTTCTTTAAGTCATTGATCCATTTCAAGTTAATGTTAGTATTTGGTGTGAGAAAAATTCAACTTCATTCTCTTGCATGTGGATATCCAATTGTCCTAGCACCATTTGTTGAAAAAACTATTCTTTCCCGATTGCCTTGTCTTGGCACCCTGAGTGTAAATCACTTCACCATGGATACATGGGCTTATTTATGGACTCTTAATTATATTTCACTGACTTCTATTTTTCTTTATGCCAGTACCTTACTGTTTGATTACTAATGCTTTGTGTAAGTTTTGAAATTGGAAAGCATGAGTTCTCCAGCTTTATTTTCCTTTTTTAAGATTGTTTTGCCTTTTCTGGATCCTTTGTGTTTTCTGTATTTTTGAATCAGCTTTTCCATTTCTCCAAAGAAGCCAAGTGGGATTCTAATAGGGATTGCATTGAATCTGTAGATCACTTTGGATAGTATTGATATCTTAACAATATTCAGTCTTCTGTTACATTAACATGGGCTGCCTTTCCGTTTATTTAGCTCTTTCATTTCATTTCATTTTTTTAAATTTTTTTAATGTTTATTTTTGAGAGAGAGAGATTGTGAACGGGGTGGGGCAGAGAGCGAGAGAGAGAGGGAGACACAGAATCTGAAGCAAGCTCCAGGCTCCAAGCTGTCAGCACAGAGCCTGACACGTGGCTCAAACTCATGAACTGTGAGATCTTGACCTGAGCCAAAGTCGGACACTTAACTGACTGAACCACCCAGGCACCCCTGCTCTTTCATTTCTTTTAAGAACATTTTTTAGTTGTCAGGGTATAAGCTCTGACCTTCTTTTGTTGAATTTATTTCTAGTATTGTTTTCAATACCATTGCAAAAGGAGCTATTCTCTCAATTTCATTTTTGGATTGCTCATTGCTGGTGTATAGAAACAAAATTTTTTTTTTTTCTTTTAATTTTTTTTTTTTTCAACGTTTATTTATTTTTGGGACAGAGAGAGACAGAGCATAAACGGGGGAGGGGCAGAGAGAGAGGGAGACACAGAATTGGAAACAGGCTCCAGGCTCTGAGCCATCAGCCCAGAGCCCGACGCGGGGCTCGAACTCACAGACTGCGAGATCGTGACCTGGCTGAAGTCGGACGCTTAACCAACTGTGCCACCCAGGCGCCCCTAGAAACAAAATTTATTGTTGTTATATTGATCTTGTATTTTGCAACCTTGCTGAACTCATTTATTCTGATAGTTTTTCAGTGGATTCCTTAGGATTTGCTATATATGGGATCATATCATTTGTGAGTAGAGGTAGTTTTCCTTTCTAAACTAGATGCATTTATTTCAGTCTCTTGCCTAATTGTCCGGTCTAGAACGTCTAGTACAGTGTTGAATAGAAGTGGTCAGAGGAGACATCCTTGTCTTACTTCTCATCTTAGGGGGAAAGCCCTCAGTTTTCACCATTTAGTGTGATGCTAGCTGTGGGGTTTTTTTATGGATGCTCTTGATCAGGTGGAGGAAGTTCCCTTCTACTTTTAGTTTGTTTAGTGTTTTTATCACCAAAGGTCTCTTTTTTTATTTTTCGGTCTTTGGTTTCCCTAAGTCAGTTGTTAATCTTCATGAAAGTAAGGATTTTCTTCTAACACTTTTTCATCCTTCAGTGCCCTGCAAAGCTTCTGAGCACAGAGCAGATTTTCTTTAAATATTTGGTGAGTGATTATAGGCATGAAGGAATGAGTAAATGAACAAATTTGATTCTGGAAGGCAGGTATGCTCACCACTATGCCACCAACGCTAACGAATTTGATTCTGTATCCATTGTAATCATGCTAGCCTCAAGGCTACTCTTTGAGAGTGAGGTTGTGTATGAAAAACATGATTCATGACCAGAATGTGATTGAGGTGAAAGCCAGGACCTGTCTGAAGATTTCTATAAGTGTGCTTTTTGAAGCCTTGGTAGTAAATGACATGTGCTATCTTAGGTTCCCCAGGAAACAGACTGTGAAACAGAGAGTTATGTACAAGGCTTTACTATATTTAAGAGGGGTACCCAGAATCTACTACATGTATATACTAGATGATCCAGCAGGTCCGAGACTGGGATCCTCATCAGTGCTTTTTGCCCTATTGTGCTCATATAAGACATTTTGCCATTGTCAGAATATTATCATTGGCCAAAGAGTTGAATTTTCAAATAACCATAATAAGTCTGGATTAACAAATAGTAAGACCAACTTCCTAAATGCTATCTAACTGCATTGCCTTAGGAACACTAATGAACTTTGAAAATCAGTTGCATTGGTAAATATCTGTTTACTTACGAGGTCAGTGGGCTAATAGCACTTCTCCAACCATTGTTTAATGTTAAGACACCTAAGTTTTTATCTCTGTGGTTATACTATCTACATCAAAGATAAGGTTATCTCGTTCACCCACTTGAAATGAGAATTTCCAAAAAAATGTGTCTTGAGAAGTATTTAAAGGCAAGTTTTCACCTGCTACTGTTTCTTAATAGCACTTGTTTTGAGTAATTGGAGCATGTCAGCTAAGTGTTGACTTTTTTGTGTAAGGTCATGAACAGTATCAGAGATTGCTTTGTGACTGGGAAGTGGGAAGATGATAAAGATGCAGCCAAGATCTTAGCAGAAGATGGTAAGTAAAGGACAGTATTCTTCAGAGAAGACTGTTATCTATACTTTGTTTTATTCCATATCTTTAACGGTTGGAAATAATAGGCAAACGTGAAATGCTTTGGGGAATGCTGACAGAGGAGTTTATGGGTAGTATTCTGGTTCCTCTTTTTATCATGATCTTACTTTCTTCCCTTGGTTAACTGACTTATTAGATATGGACCTTGAAGAAAAGTAGGAAGCTTTCCATAACTTTTTTTTTTGTTTGTTTGTTTTAATTTTTTTTTAACGTTTATTTATTTTTGAGACAGAGAGAGACAGAGCATGAATGGGGGAGGGGCAGAGAGAGAGGGAGACACAGAATCGGAAGCAGGCTCCAGGCTCTGAGCCATCAGCCCAGAGCCCGACGCGGGGCTCGAACTCACGGACCGCTAGATCGTGACCTGAGCTGAAGTCGGACGCTTAACCGACTGAGCCACCCAGGCGCCCCTCCATAACTTTTATCATGTGTTTGTTAAAAATGGATTTTTGTGTGTGTGAAAAATGTACTCAAATAACATTTTCTTTTAATGATGAAGGTAGTATATATTGTAGAACATTTAGAATACAAAGTTCATGTCATACCATAATCTCTGCCTATGTTAAAAAAAACCTTTGTTAATTTTTTGAGATTTTTTTCCTTCTAGTTTTTTATAAATTTAAAAATTTTCTAGTTATAATTCTACTTTACATACACTGTGTTGTTAAATTTTTTCAAAGGTTTCATGTTTGCGATTTTATTCTATCATATCCTAATTCAGTTCACAGTTTGTCATTTAAGCAATTTACTTTGCCTGTATTATAATTAACTCTACACTGGGCCACCTTGAAATAACTCTTGGATCACATTTTTTATTTTCATAAGTTAGATTCATAAAAGTTAGAATTATTGAGTGATTTTTATGGACCACAACTGCCAAAAGCTTTTTCAGAAAGTTGTCCTTACTTATGTGCCCATAAGCAGTGTATCTTAGTACTTAACATTTTACTGCTTTCATTCAATATTGAATACCACCCATAAAAAAATGTTATTTTTGGCAGTTTGATAAAGGAAAATTGTTTCTTAAATTTATAACTGGCATTCTTTTGATTACCAGTAACTTGAGAATATTTCTTTCAGATGTGTTGGGTATGGCATTTCTTCGGTGAATTCTTTGTGTTCTTTGCTCACTTTTCTAATGGGATATATATATATATTAATAATTATGTAATATATATATAATATATAATATAATTATATATATTATATATAATTATTATAATTATATAATTATAATATATATAATAATTGTATATATAATATATAATTATAATTAATATATATATAATGGGATATATATATATATATTTCTGATTTGCAAATTATTCTTTAAAGGATATTTATCCTTCTTCATTTTTGTGTGTTTGAGTGCTTTTAACCACTCACCTGCTTTCTGTCACTATACAGTAATTTGTACCCTCTAGAATTTTATATAAATGGAATCATACAGGATGTACCCTTTTCTGGCTAACTTCTACCCAACATAATTATTTTGAGATATGTTCATGCTCTTGCATCTTCGTCCCTTTTTATTGCTGAATACTTAATTTCTTTTCATTAGTGAGTAATATTCCATTGTATGATGCACTGCAGTTTATCTGTTCGCCTGTTGGTGGTCATTTAGGTTATTTCTGGGCTTTGGCTATTGCAAATAAAGCTACTGTGAACATTCTTACACAAGTTTTTGCATGAACAACTGCTTTGATTTCTCTTGAGTACATATCTCACAGTGGGTTAAATGGATATGGCAGATGTATGTTTAATTTTTTAAGAAAAAGCCAAATTGTTTTTCTAAGTGATTGTATCATTTTGTATTGCCATTAGCACTTTATGAGACTTCCAGTTATTCTACATCCTTGCCAATACTTGATACAGTCTTTTTAGTTTTAGATATAGAATGATACCTCATGGTTTTATTGTGTATTTTCCTAATGACTAATGATATTGAGCATTTTTGTGTGCTTATTTTCCATCTGTTTCTTCTTTGGTAAATGTCAAACCTCTTGTCCAGTATTTTAATCTATTTAATTTCTTTAAGTCATTTATCACTTGTGATTTTAATTATTTTTGCCCAGTGTGTAGTTTGTATTTTCATATTTAAAAAAAATTTTTTTTTAATTTTTTTTAATGTTAATTTTTTTGAGAGAGAGAGAGAGACAGAGTGCAAGCAGAGGAGGGGCAGAGAGAGAGGGAGACACAGAATCCAAAGCAAAGCTTCAGGCTCTGAGCTGTCAACACAGAGCCCGGCAGGGGGCTCAAACTCATACCACAAGATCATGACCTGAGCTGAAGTCAGACACTTAACCAACTGAGCCACCCAGGCGCCCCTAAAATAAAAAAATTTTTTAATGTTTATTTTTGAGAGAAGGAGAGAGAGAGAGGGAGACACAGAATCCAAAGCAGGCTCCAGGTTCTGAGCTGTCAGCACAGAGCCTGATGTGGGGCTTGAACTCACGAAGCACGAGATCATGACCTGAGCTGAAGTTGGATGCTTAACCAACTGAGCCACCCAGCCACCCCTGTCTTTTCATATTTTCAATGGTGTCTTTTGCAGAACAAAAGTTTTTGATTTTGATGAAGGCCATATTTTTTTTTAACGGACTGTGCCTTTGATAATGTATTTAAGAAATCTTTGCCCCACTCAAGGTTGTATATTTTCTTCTATGACTCTTACAGTTTTAGGTTTACATTTAGTTCTGTGATCCATTTTGAGTTAATTTTTTATGTGGTATTGGGTATGGATCAAGGTTTCCTTTTATTTTTGCTTATGGATATCCACTTTTTCCAGCACTATTTGTTGAAGACTGTCCTTTACCCACAATGAATCGCCTTTCATTGGTTGACCATATATAGGCAAGATTTCTGGACTCTGTTCCATTCATATATTTGTTTATTTTTATAGCAATACTGCACTGTTATATATAGCTTAACTTATTTTTATTTATTTATTTTTAAAGTTTATTATGTTGAGAGAGAGAGAGAGAATGAGAACACGAGCAGGGGAGGGGCAGAGAGAGGGAGAGAGAGAGAATCCCAAGCAGGCTCTGCACTGGCAGTGTAGAGCCTGACACAGGGCTCAAACCCACGAATCATGAGATCATAACCTGAGCTAGAAACCAAGAGTTGGATGCTTCACCGACTAAGCCACCCAGGTGTCCCTGCACTATTACAGCTTTATAATTAATCTTGAAATTAGGTATTTTAAGTCTTCAAATTTTATTCTTTTTCCAAAGTTGTTTTGGCGATTTTGGGTCCCTTGCACTTCCATTTAAGTTTTAAGATGACCTTACCCATAGCTACCAGAAAAAAACCCTGCAGTTTTGATTGGGATTTTGTGGAATTTGTAAAACAATTTTGGGGAAATTGACATTTTAACAATATTGAATTTTCTGATCTATGAACATAAGTAGATCTCTCCATTTATTTTGTTTTTTAATTTTTTTTAATGTTTATTTTTGAGAGAGGCACAGAGTGTGAGTGGGGGAGGGGCAGAGAGAGAAGGAGACACAGAATCCAAAGCGGGTTCCAGGTTCTGAGCTGTCAGCACAGAGCCGGACACAGGGCTCGACCTCACGAACCATGAGATCGTGACCTGAGCCGAAGTCAGCCGCTTAACCAATTGAGCCACCCAGGTGCCTCTGTTTTTTAATTTCTTTTAGCAGTGATTTTAGGATGCTGTTCTCACTTATTTCTTAACAAATGTATTCCTAAATATTTTGCATTGTTATTAATATTTAAATGATATTTTAATTTTAGTTGGCGCTTATTTGTTATTACACGAAATGGCTGATTTTTGTATATTAATCTCCTATCCTGCAACCATGCCAAATCACCCATTTATAATGCAAAGCTTTTTTAATATATATTTCATACAGATAGATTTCTTGTATCTTGTATTGGGTACTGTATAGTATAAGACCACAACCTGTGTATTAACGTTGATAACATCTGCTGATCTTACATAGATTTCCCCAGTTTTACTTATGCTCATATGTGTTGTTTGTGTGTGTGTTTAGTTCTCTGTATTTAGTTCATGTAGGTTTATGTGTCTACATACAGTTACCAGACAGAACATTTCCATCACCGTAAGGATACCTTGTATTACTCTTATAAATACATTTAGCTCCTTTCTGTCACCCATCCCCAAGTTCTGACCCATCAGCCACTTACCTGTTTTTCATTTCTACAGTTTTATAATTTTTAAGAATGTTAAATAGAATCATAGAATATGTAACTTTTTATGATTGATTTTTTTTTCCTTTTCATCATAGTTCCTAGAGAGGTCCATCCAAGTTGTTCCATGTGACTGTAGTTCATTCCTTTTTATTGCAGAGTAATATTCCCTGATAAGGATGTAGCAGTTTGTTTAACCATTCACCCACTGAAGTACATCTGGGTTGTTTCCAGTTTTTGACTTTTGAGAATTGAACTGCTATGAACATTTGTGTACAGATTTTTTTTTTTAATTTTTTTTTTTCAACGTTTATTTATTTTTGGGACAGAGAGAGACAGAGCATGAACAGGGGAGGGGCAGAGAGAGAGGGAGACACAGAATCGGAAACAGGCTCCAGGCTCTGAGCCATCAGCCCAGAGCCTGACGTGGGGCTTGAACTCACGGACCGCGAGATCGTGACCTGGCTGAAGTCGGACGCTTAACCGACTGCGCCACCCAGGCGCCCCTGTGTACAGATTTTTATATAAATATAAACTTACTATTTTTCTGGGATGAATGCCTAAGAATACAGTTGCTGGGCTGTATGGTAATTGCATACTTAGCTTTATAAGAAACTGCCAGAGTAGTTGGGCTGTTTTGTATTTCCACCAGCAATATATGAATGATCCAGTTTCTTCACGTCCTTGCCAGTATTCAGTGTCCTATTATTTATTTTAGCTAATCTGATAGTGATATTTCACTGTGGTTTCATTTTATATTTCCCTGATGG